CACTTCAGGGGCAAATGCCCAGGAAAAATGACCAAAACTAAAATGAAACCAGGGACTTGTAATGCATGTTATTATTTAAGCAAATCAGCATCAATACTCTTAAGTTGCATTTGGCTGCTACGGTCAGTGGTCACTGGCTGTACACTGAAAAGTACAGCTCAGAGAGATGCTTCAAGGGGTCTACAAAGGATTCCGCAGCCTACAGCCACCTGAAATGGCAACTGCTGCTGCCTGACAACAGCAGGGAAGAGTGTCTGGGCTTTGCTTCTCGACTTGCAGGCTGGAATTTAAATATTAAGGTGAGATGAAGCACGTGAATAATCCTGAATAGAGCGAAAATATTGTTAGTTTGCTGTTGGAGTAGGTGAGGGTTTCACTTTCAAGAGGGAATTATAGGGTAGCTGGATGCTCTTATTTTCAAAGAGAGATTTACATCTCTATTAGAAATGACTCAAATAAGAGATGGAATGATAGCAACAACCAGTGAGGTAAGAGGAGGGGAAAAAAAAAAGATGCCCTCAATTATAGTCACAGTCATCCAGCAGTTCTACACCTGCAAGAAGTAGCCTATCTTTGTTTACACCAGCGGAAGTCCCCAGGAGAACACAGCGCACAGAATCCACAGGAAGAATTTGGTCATACTTTTCAAAGTAGTTTAGTTTTCAAAAATCCACCTTCCCTAAAGGGAAAAACACCTTGAGAACCAATTAGTGGTATGAAGGGCCGGAGAAAAAGAGTGTGCTCTGGCGGAAAGATGATTTTGTTGATTTCAGGTAAAAAAATCTTGGGCCAGATGCTAAAGTGGATGCTACCCCTGCTTATCTCCCCTCTGCCCCAGGGACAGTGCAGTCTGTTACATGTGTATCTTCTGAAAAGGGAAAGGAACAAAGTCTCAAAACAATTTTTCTAAGACCTAATCCTGAGTCACAGAACAGGTGGCAGTTTTCTGAGGAGTAACAGTGGATTATTGAAACAGCAAATACTTTTTTCCCTCCCAGTTAATCAGATTCCTTTTGAGCAAAGTTTAGGCCTCTACCCTCTACACGGCAAAAAGTAAACAAGACAAATGGAACTAAACATTCACAAAAAGGCTAAATTCATGACTGATGCCGCTTACGATTTAAGATCAGCTATAAATATGCTGTCTGGTAGTTTTTAATGGTGTGATGGTCTGACTCAGCAGACCAGTGTCAGGAAAGAAATTTACATAAATGGAAAGTGAAATCTTTCTTCAAGAAACAGGACTGTTAGTAACTGCTTAGGTAAGGAGACGCTCACTTACGCAAACGTGGATATACATATTAAACCTGCTCTCCAATATCTGCTTGAGCTTAAGTTATTGCCCATAAAAAAAACTAAGATGTTTGCTTTTAATTTCCAAAACTTCATTTCAGTTTCAATTTTACGTGGAATAAATTCTGCAAATAGAGCTGTCATTAGGAATGAGAAGAATGCTGTCAAGCTGGTATCCACAAACATGACCAAGATTCATCCTCAAACACAGCACATGTTTAGATGGCTTGGCTAAAGATGACAAGCATGACATAAGACAACTCCAGGG